TCGTCCAAACGGACCTCTTTGCTTGCTTGCCAGCCGACACTCTGCTCACATTGCTTAGAAGCGAAGATCTATCGGTGGGATCGGAGGAGCAAGTTATTGGAGCCATCGCCCGTTGGGTGGGTTCTGGCGGTCAGGCCGATGACGAGAAGCTGAAAATGCATGTTCCTGAAATGCTGAAGCAGGTCCAGTGGCACCAGACGAGCGTCCAATGTCGCGATCGCGTAATGGAGAGCTATCCAATAATCTGGAAAATCCCCGAATGCGCGTAAGTATATGTCATTCATCCCAGTTACTTTTATACAAGTCTACTTATGGCCCGGATTGTGAATTGGATTGGTGCTGGAGACAAGGAAAAACCACCCTGTCCCTTCAACCTAAAGCCCTGTCACAAAGTCCTCCTCTTTGGAACAGACAAACATCAGAGCGGGTGGTCTGTCCTACGTTTCGATCCGCAAGCGCAAAAGGCCGAACGATTTGCTGACATGGAACGGCGCCGGAACGCCTCCTTCAGTATCGTGGGCGGTGAGTTGCCTGACATTTGCACATTCGCTTCAGCGCACATATATAAGGATATCGAGCTCTTGATGTTGTCCATTGCAGCCATTGAACAGGCTTTTTGAAGGAAAAAGTAAACTCGGCTCATTAACAAGTGCACTACCGATGTCTGCCTACTTTTTTAAGATAGCAGATTTGACAGATTTTTTGTAAAGTTTCCTGCCCTCATCCGGACATTTTATGCATTTCTTTTTGCAACTCTTTGAAGAGAGCATTTTCGTTATCGGAGGGCAAAGCAGTTCAAAGCGTGTTGATGAGTTCCTAGTAAGAGAAGGGCGCTGGCGCGAGCGGGCACCCCTCGCTGTTGCACGCGAGTGCCACGCAGTCACAGTCGTAAAGGTTCGCACCGCCGCCGCTGCTGCAAACGGAGAGGAAGTGCTGATTGGAGTTTTTGGCGGATACAACGGGTCGGTCCTTTCTTCTTGTGAAGTCTATGACGTCAGGCAGGACAGGTGAGAAAACAGTCGTCGTGACGCATATTTTTTGTCGAATTGTGTTTTTCTTCTCATACGCGTGTTTATCCCCCTCCCCCCCCCACCTGCTTCCCGCGAACAGATGGCACAAATTGCCCGACCTGCGGGAGAAGAGGCGCGGCCCAGCTGCTGCCTGCTTGCCCGGCGACAGTCGGGTATTCCTTTTTGGCGGTGGAGATTACTCCCCCTCCTACACTGCTTCCGTGGTCTTCTGCCATTTGCGTGCGGACTGGAGAGAGAAGGTGACTTCCCGGACTTTTGGCTGTCGGCAGCTTCCATGAGAACTGCGCGATGGGGGCTCGCAGCGACACCCTTTCGGGGAGCAATCCTGGTCGCCGGTGGATATGATGGTCAAAAGCGTGTAAATATTGTAGAGCTGTTCTCACTGCCAGACGCCAAGTGTCCTCAAGGCCAGTGGACCGAGCTGGCTGGCATGAAGCAGCCTCGCTCATGGTTCACTCTTCTCACCTCCTCTAACACGGTCTTCGCTCTCGGTAATGCAACCCGATCAAATGTTTTCTTTCTTTCACTCTTTCCCTCTCTCTCACACACATGTCATTCGGTGCTGCCATCCGCGTAGCCCATTTTGTCAAGCAGAAATAGTAAAGCATCTGCATGTGACACCAGCTCTTAGTATGATCTGGCACGATGTTTGAGGTTTTTCCTGCGCACTGAGTCACTGCAGCCAGAATTAGTTGGTTTGGATAAAAATATTACCTTAGTTTTGTTGGTCACCTCTCTCTTATATGTTTGTTTAATAGAGGGTTATTATAGATTTTTAAAATTTGTAGGCAACGAGGATGGACCGCACAACACGGTAGAGGCTCTAACTGCAAAGGAGGTTCAGCTGACTCTACAAGTGACGCGAAATCTTGGGCTTGGTCATCCAAGGGCCCAGTGGAAACGCTCAGTTGGATTCATGGAGCAGTCAGCATTTACATGTAACTGTCAGCATTTTTGATACCAAAAATAACGACCCGTAAAAGTAGCTGCTTTGCTAGTTGTTATTTCGAAACATCTGAAGGATGTGCAACGTCAATATTTGGATTGACCGATTAAAGAAGTGTTTTGCTTTGCGAGGAATGAAAAGTGTGTGGGCCGCTCAGTGATCCAGGTGAACAGTTAATATTTAAGAGAGAAACGTTCATTCGCCGAGGTAAAGTACAAATTTAGTGCAACCCGAAATTCAAAGCTATTTGCTATAACATGAACGCCAAATGCGCTACTAATGGGAAACATCGAGTTATGTGAACTATTCCCCATTTCAGAATCAGAAACATGCTGGCCAGAGGATATTCTTGGACATAGTGACTTCCAGGAAATGGCTTAAGAGCAGGGATTTGATTTCTCCTACGAGACCATTGATCGACAAATATTTCGGGTATATGCTGGATCCAAAACTTGTAGTTTATAGTCAGACTGCAATTGCTCCTTCTTAACATAACTTCTGGCGTTCTCACCCAAGCTAGAAGTGTGTGTGTGTTTGTGTTTGTGTAGTGCATCGCAGATGATGACTAACTGACTACCTGGCCCTTGAAAGATGATGTCCCAGGCTAAATGCAGGACTTCATATCAACCTACTGGGCTTCAGGGATTGTGTGCGTTTGTTATGCCATAATCGGCAAAACATTGCGTCGCGGCCTGGTGCGCGCTGGCAGTTTTTTGGTACCTGGTTACCTGGCGAAGGACGCACTTGCGCTCCAGCTGGATACACAGGTAGTGCGCATGGTTGTCCAGTGACTTGTGTCCTCCTTCTCATTCTGACCCATTGCTGTTGGTTAAAATCCTGGTCAAGTGATTGCCGTGTGGACCAGGGGGTGTGGTGGCACACCTAGGTGTGGGTCCAGCTGTGCCAGCCGCCTGCGACCTCTCCCACCTTCAACGTTCTTGACTATGTCGTGATAGGGTGCTCGGGCGGTGAGGAGGCGAGAAAGATTTAAATGCTGCGCAAGTCCACTACCATTACAAACTAACTCACGCACAAGTCGCCGACCAGCTCTCACCTAGCTGTGGAGCACACTGTGGACACCGTCGGCAATGACGGCCGAACTGTCATATTATGTAATCACATGGCCAATATGGGTGACGACTCTCGAGTTAACGGTAGGTGTTTGTAGTTAGTTTAACCTTGACCGGTTTCTTCCGAGTCATCAATTTTTGCGATAAACAAAATTTGTCTGGTAAGCCTGAAGGGTATTTAGCGTGAATGCGACCTATTCCAAATTATAAATAAAGATAAATATTGTCAACTCCTAATGGTGATCGAGTTCACCAGAAATGACCTAATTAAGCTCGAGAGCAAACGATGGCTACATATATGCAACGGGCGAACTTTTGACAGTAGTCGTCCTAAATGATTCACTGGACTCCATATCACAGATTTTGATATTTCATGAAAGAACGCCTTCCCCCGGTGTAAGTGGTCAGTGGTAGACTCTTTGCTGTCGCTCTCAAGATCGCCAGCACCACGGTTTGCCCAGAGAGTATACGCTAGGCGTTTAAGGTAAATGCACTAAGTTGATATTATAAACAGACAAAATTCCATCCAATCGGGTGAGATGCGAAGACTTCCTATGAACCATAGATGCTAGAACGTGACAAGCTGTCGCCTCGTAGCTCAGGTGGTTAGAGCGTTGGCCGCGCTAAAGCCTTCTCCTTACTGCGTGGATTCGAATCCCACCGAGGCGCCGAGTTTTTCACAGTTGGGTCAATATGAATTATTCAAAATCTGCCAAAATATCAATGAATCATATTTTGAGTTGCACTCTACTGACTAACCGGAGAAATATTTGAACATTGGTTTCCTAAAGTGCCCCTGATTCCATTAACATGAAGTCTTGATGCTCTTGGGAATCTGGGTTGAACAAATCTGCCGAAAGGACTCAGACTTCCTAATCATCAGTTGAGACGGCAACTGATTGACCATCAACTTATAGAGGCTATCAACGGTAAGATGGTGTACGCAGGCTGCTCAAACTAGGGAATCCGCTCTTCTGTCGCCGGAGGTGCCCTTGTCAGTCTGCTAACTCACCCAAACTAGTCTATACAGAATGTATAATCATCCCAACGGGGGTCCACCTTCTCTTTCAATTCGTGACCGGCCTGATGGTCGTGACAGCCAGGACCTCATACACGGCTTGGCGGGTTTTTGAAATTAAGTCGCAATTTTCCTTTTGCTTCCCAGTCACATGAGAAACGTCTTTTCAGTACATCCGTCAGCCTATTTTACTAATAATATACTGATGTTTTAACTCCTTTGCTTACCTGATCTACAATAATAAGCTCATCTGTACACTGTGCTAGCGCCGTTTTGAAGGAAGTCGAATCTGACGCGAATTTTGTAACTCCCTCAGCGACTATTCTTCACGAATTCGACAGTTACAGTGTTTGCTAGTTATCGCTTGTGATTTTCTGATGCCATCTGTCTTACGTACTCATTTTATGTACGGTAGGAAGAGGCCTATTTGCTGATAATGTCGGTATGATATTTACAAAATAAAGCATATCTCTCTCATATTTTAGCTCAGTCGCGCAAATTATTATGGCGACTGAATATTGACACATTGGATAGTGTCCAGGAGCAAAGCCTTTTACAAAGGTGACGTGCTCCGAAAATTTGGTGTTTAACAGTTCAAACTCACAGGCTTTTAAATTGAGACAAGGCATATTTAATATGGTTTAAAAAGCTTTCCCACAAATTAGCAATGAGGTCCGACATCAGCCTACTGTGAGAGCTCACGGTTTATGGTAAACATGTCCAAAAGCGAATAGGCCCACAAAAGTTCACGGTACACTTCAGAACATACGCTTCGTTCCAAAGCTTTCTTTACATTCATTTGGATGACACCCATAGATGAAAGATAATATGCTTTTTTGATTACTGTGTCACTAATAGGTAATTCGATTTCGTACCCTACTATGTCCTCAGTTTGCTATCCAATGCACTGGGATGTGCAACGCTTATTGACTTACCAACTGAAAATCGCCCACCTGTTGGAGGACGGATGCGGCAATCAGGTACGTTTGACTGTTCATTATCAAGAAGGATGTCTAGCAGACATGTCTATGAGGTCATGTCAAAAGTAAACGGCAGGCCGCTATTATAGGGGATTTGTTGGTAAATGACTTCAACTGCTCTAGGCCAAACTTTCTGCAGAAAGCGCGAGATATCGGTGAGGACGACCAAAGAATCAACACAATGTTCACGTTTTCGTCCAACTAAATACGTTAATTCGATGTGGGTGAAGGGACCAAATCGAAAATTTGGAAGGTTTAGTGTACACCCACTTAATCGTTTGCCCGGTGTTACCATTGTTTGTGGTTAAATTCCTACTAAACCGAAGTTACCCAAGCGTCTATTAAATTGCGACGATCTACGACTTGAGCGATCCAGTATTGGAAGTCAGGGAAGATACTTGAGCGAACAATCATTTACTGAAGTCGAGGATGTACAGGGAGCATCTCAAGCCGTTGCAACCATCGCCCCACCAGGCACCCATCAGCCGAACCGCGTGCTCCTAAACTCCCACTGCTTGTAGCCAGTCGGTGAGCATACACATTTCAACCCGCATTCCCGCGTCGCAAACCGGAGGTTGAGCCACGCTTGATAGGCCTAACGAAGGCAATGTGAGCAAACCCTGGTCCTGTCGATTTTGAGAGCGGCAGCATTACCGGGGGAAGGCGTTCCTTCGTGAAATATTAAAATGTGTAACATGGAGCCCACTGAATCATTTAGGACGACTACCGTCAGACGTCCCCCCTTCACATATATGTAGTCGTCGTTTGCTCTCGAGCTTGGTTAGGTAATTTCGGGTGAACTCGAGCACCGATAGGAGTTGAGGATATTTTTTCTTGAGAAAGAGAAGGCTCCTCGGAAAATCGAGTTGTACTCGTAAATTTTCAAGTCGCTGACACCCACCCGTCGTCAGACGTAATGAACAGAGGAGAAAGTGAGATCGGCAGATTAGGCCGGCTGGCGCGACAGGACAGACAACGACAAAGAGACAGCTGATGAGTGAGAGGGGTGGACACCGAGTTACGGTAAGCTTTGGGGCGAGGGAACGGAAGGGAGAAACATCAGATCTTCCTGTGTTGGAGGTTGAAAAAGAGCGGGGAAATTGCGGATCAGTGGGGATGCGTCGGCTAACCATTGATGCGGGAAGAGGTCAGGGGGCAATGCGCCGGAATTGGAGATGTTTGGGGTGTCGGGTGTTATTCACTGTGTCTCAAGGAGGGGGGGGGGGAGCGGAACGGTGAGATAGCATACGTATGTGGCCGAGTGGGGATTAGCAGTCGTTAGGGTGTGGGAACAAGACAGTCAGCATATGCGTAAGCCCTCGTTGTGAGCGTCTAGATCCACGTAACTGTTGATGCTGTTCTTGCCAGAATGCCAAGCTTCGAGGAATTCTCGCGCCTGTCTGGTGTAGGCCCCTGCGACCACTTTAGTACCGTCCCAATTGAAGCGGTGATCATACTCAAGGGCGTGCGCAAACACGAGAAACGGAGGGTCACGTCGGCGAAGGGCTAACGTGTGCTCATTAGTTCGAGTCCGATGACACTTTCCTGTACGATCAATTAAACAAAAGGGCAGTTGACGCACAGGATGCGGAAGATGACGTTAGTTAGTTTTTCCTTGGGTACCGAGTCCTCTACTCGGCATAATGCCCCGCGTAGGGAAGAGGCGGGTTTGTGGGCGATGGAGATGCCAAAGCGGTTTAATTGCCGGGAGTGTATTTCAGAAATTACTTGGATGTACGGCAGTAAATAGAATTTCCGCGACACTCTATCAGTATTAGACTCGGGGCTTGGCGGTTGTTTTTGCGTCTGAGACAATTTTTTACAAAATTTGCCGTATATCCGTTAAACCGGAATAACCGATATAAGTAGGCCAATTCTTTCTTAAGCAAGTCACTGCTGTTGCAGATGCAGGAGTAAGAGAAATAAGAGAAATGATTACCAACTCAAGCTCACCGACCTGTCAACGGGCAGCAAATAACCCAATGGACATCGAGTTTAATCAATGAGGTCGGTGCACATTTTAAATGACATAATAAGAATATAAATTTAAAAGAAACTCTTTGTACACAGTAGACGGTCTTACTATAACGAAGAGCTTATGAATACACACGGGCGCGCATGGCCCCTGTAACCATGGATGCTAAAATTTCACGCTGTCCGAACGACAACGATTCTCTGGATTGGAAACTTAGAGGAGGGTAAGTCGGATTCAAATCTATCTGTGCATTCCAGGTATGAATGCTTAGCTATGACAGAGTGGATATTAAGGCACACGGCAGCAACTGGTTGATCTAACCGAAGATTCCAAGGTCACACTACCGCAGTTAAAACTAATTTCTGCATGAGAAAACTAGAAAGTCGTAAGCATGATTCAAACACAAATATGTGAACAGGGTACGAAGTCTAGCTATAACGGAGTGGATGTGAACACATGCAGTGGCGCATGCTAGCTGCAAACAGAGACGCCTGGGTTTTACTCTGCACGAAGGACAGTGACTCGCTGGATTAGGAAATGAAAATGACGTAAGCGCAGTTAAAATGCAACTATGTGTACTGGAAGTAAAGAAGGGCCACTACAAAGAGGATGTCACGACACACGGCCATAGATCTAACGGAGAATGCAGGCTTCCATTCTACTCAACCAGAAGCGATAAGTCGGATAAGAGAATAAGTAGAGGGCAAACCCGATTCAAGCTCAACTGTGTGGTCTACCTCTGAAGTCTAGCTATGACAAGGTGGACTTTAAAACGCACGATCACAGATTGAGGACCAAACCAAAGATGCCGAGGGTCAACATATCTCGGAGCAGACAACCATTCTCTGAACAGGGAAACGAGGGGTTTATAACGCGATTTAAACACTACCATATATATTGGGTACGAAGTCTAGCAAAAAAGGAGCGAATATTGAAACTCGTGGCCGCGCATGGACACTATAATAAAAGATGCCAGCGTTCCACACTGTTAAAGCAAGAGCGGATCGACGAATTCAGAGTTTGGTAGAGGGCAAGGTCGGTTCCAGCGCTTCTGCGTATTCGAGATATAAAAGTCTACCTCTGAAAGAGTGGTTGTCAGCACAAACGGCAGCCGCCAAGTGATGTAACTAAACATACCAAAGAAACTGTGGTTGTCCGCTCCCTTGCTCACCGTCCCTTTTTCGCGCTGCATTTCTGTTGTCCCGCTGCTGGGATCGTATGAGGCTTGTAACTAGTCTCGAGAGAGCTCTAAGCCAATCAATGCTGCTCCTTAGCTTATTAGCTACAGGCGGACACAAACTAAGACAGAGCTAAGGCGCGCACACACATAGTGGCTACGAAATATGACGGCGGACACTGAAAAAAGAGCACGCCTGAAAAGATAGCTTGCGCAGCTGCTTACTAAACCGTCGTTCGTTCTCGTCAGTAAAAATATGTCCAAAACAATCCGTCTTCCATAACTTCTGATTTGAGAATCTGCATTGCCGACCATTAGGAGCTCTTGAACCGGTTTCCGATTTTAATGAACCCAATTATTTGCAAGTACAATTACTCACTGGATTGGGAAACGAGGAGGGCGTAAGCGCGATTCAAGCACCAATAAGTTTACCAGGTGTTAATGTTAGCAATGACGGAGGGGGTTTAAAAGCTCGCGGTAGCGCACACGCGCTGGAAAGATCGTAGGGTTCCACTCTGCACGAACTATAGACACTCGTTTGATTAGTAAAAAAAGTGGACGCTAGCGCGATTAGAAAACAACTATGCGCAATCGTGTGAAGCCTCTCTGTGACGGAAGTGATTTTGGAAGCAGTATGTAAGGATGAATTATATGGTTGCCCAGCGATTTTATTTATGATATATGGCTGCATTCCTGTGCTAAGTAGGCATGTTTTATAAGCAATAGTCGCAGATCGGCAATGTAATTCGTGCTAACCAGAAGTTACAGTAGATGTGCTAACTCATGAAACGTTAACCGAAATTCTGACATGTGTTTTCGACTCAAAAAGATTGCGTAAGAAATGTTGCAATATAAATTACCATGCAGGAAAATGCCTAAATATTTCGGTTACTTGCCGATGCCGGTTTTTGAATGAACTTATTTCCGGCCGAGTGCAAAAACTACACTGTAAAAAATGGCTACTCAAGTACTATGAGTATTTATCCTTGATTTTCGCGCCCGTATAAATTCATATATAGTTTATTGAAAACAAGCACATAGATATTCATCCTTTTACTCATTTAGAAGTCAACATCACATGATGAAGGACGTGATCCTCTACACCCGTTCAGTATGGAGATTTGGAATGCAAATGTTTATTTAGAGTTGGCCACGACAAAGGACGTCAGAGTTAGCGGCTTGTACTATGCCGACGACTGGGAAACGACTCGAACAGAAAGAAAACTACAAAGTTTGTGCTGCAATTTCTCGCGGTCTTTTTATTGACGTTTAACCGATTGTGCAGCTATCTAGGTAATTATGTTAGGTTTATATTCGAGGAGCACTAAATATATTTCGGTCTGAAATAGGTCATGTCGGTGAGGCATTATGAAACGTACGCTATATATACACAAACATTCCGGATAAGTAAGACAATAAATGCGGAGAGCTGAAAAGTTAGCATGTCAAATGAAAATACTTCAGAAGCCTCAGACCGACGTGGACCCCCGGCAATTTTGGTCTAACCGTTTAGATTCAGCAATCCGTGTGTTGGTGCTTTTAGATCGCGTTACAAATAGGGTCAAATCGACTTCCTGAGTACAAATGGTATGAATAACGGTTTAGTTGAATATACCCAGTGGAGATATCACATACGACCGTTGGCAAGGATGACTGGAATATACACAGACTGTAGCATTTCACGATATATCTAATGTTTACATATTTGTCTATATCGTTCTCCAAAGTTCAAATTCCTTTAAAAATCCAGGGCCATTTTACACTGCAGGTAGGTAATCCCCAGGACACGGCAGTTCCTGTGCACATGCGCCCTATTTAGGGGAATAAATGGTATGAATGCTCGACTCTGTTGCACGATCGGATTGCAGCACTCCCTCTTGTGATCTCCTACGTTTCATCGATGCTGCAGTGCCTAAGCTGACTGACTTGCCTCTGATAGACTGCTCACTGTGCGGCTAATCGTAGAAGCGTAGTCCTTGTGAACAGTTGCAGCGAGTACTTATGCTTTCAATGTACGCCGCATTAATTTCGCTTGTCAGCGTTTTTACGCAGTTGGTTTCACATGGGACATAGAACTGGTGCTCCTCCAGTAGGTTATTGGCCTTTTGAGGGTTGTCTGTTCTGTCCAGTACGACGGTGGAACTCCCCTTGTCCGCGGGCACAATGACGATGTCCTTGTCGGCCTTGAGTTCTCTTAGTGCATCGCGTTCGACCTTTGTGAGTATTTCGCGCGGCTTGTGAGTCATAAGGATGGACGAAATTTGGTGTCGGATAAAGTTCTTCGTCTCCTCCGCCGCGCCCGTCTTATTAATGAACAATTCCACTGCTGCGACCATTTGGCAGGTTTGGCGTCAGCTGTGTTGAATGAGGCTTTGTGCCGTAAAACCTGTACTTGCTCCTTCGTCAGTTCCTTTGACGACAGGTTGTGTACCAGTGTGCCGCCTCTGGATGACGTTGGTTCAGGCAGTTTGTGTAATTTCTTCCCCAGTGCTGCATCGCGTGTCGCTCTCTGCTCGCGGGCTTGTTCAGTCACTTTCTGCTGAAGCAGATTTTTGCCGTTCTCGCCCATGACCTCGCAGCATCTGGCCTTCTCTTGGTCGATTCTCTGACGGTATTTGCGTAGTCTCGCGTGGCCATCTTGAAGGAGCACGCGGATCATACGCCTTCCGTGCTGAAATACTGCGCGTCTTGCTAGCTCCGTGTTTACCGGATGTTTGTATAAAACACACTTCGGCAACATGTTGTTATCGAGACACCTGTGCAGAAACCGGATCTGCGCGTAAGTAGAGGCCTCACGAAGGGCGAAAGTTTCCCATTGTCGGGCAGATCGGAGCGCGTCGCGCGCAAACAAATTGCCGATACAAGAGAAGATGCGAGTTCCAGGAACTAGTTGATCGGAAGAAGAAGAAGCGATCGCTGGAACAATGGCTTTATTCGCCTGACGTTTCGGATTCTCTCTTGCATCCATAATCAGAGACAGTTGCAGAAAAGGGTGGCTCGTGCGCAGGAAGTCTTACTATTTATAGGATGCAGTCGCTATGCTACCGCATACCTACAGCAATTAACCGTGTTCCCTTCATCAAGGATTGTTGCCCGCTGGTGCGCTAACTGCTTGATGGTTAGCATGCAAGTTGCTAATTGTTGACATCTCATCACCCGTGTGGGATGCTGGCGGGATGATGGCTCGACCATTTAGCTCACCGGCTTGCGCGCTCCTCGAGTGGTCAATTACTTTGGCCAGTCTATGCCTCAGCACAGAATATGGAGTGCAACGACATCCCCAATACTGTGTGTGATTTAGTCTAAAGCATTCTTGACTCCATTCCAATACTGGGCTGAGGTGGGTGAGGGAGGGGGTAGTGTGGCAGGTGTTGTGCAAGTCGACTTTCACTAGAAATTAATGTACGCGAAAGTCATCGTCACTGATCTGAACTTTTTGTGAGACACCCTGTTAACATCGCCGTTCCCGACTGTCAAACCGCTACCGGTCTGGCAGGAGATTAATAAAATGTCTGCAAAGGCGTACTCCACATTCGGTCTGGATTATGTTTACTGGGAAAGCTGGGGCGTTGTCAAAGCTGTCACAAGAACTCCTACCACAATGGTTGTCATGCATCTTATGCCTTGATTCATTCATATGCGAGATTAAAAGTCAAATGATGAAGCTGCAGTAATGCAGAATACGCAGAATTTTAGCATTTTAAGGTAGACAATTATTGATAAAAACCAAACACCGTACTAGTTGGAGTAAAACCCTCGATTGTCAAATCTGTGTTTATTTAAAATAAACTTGGAAAATATTTGTTGTTCTCGCAGTTGACGAATTAAGTGTAGGAAATTGAATACTTCGACAAGTCAAAGTTCTATCATTATGAGCCGCAGCAAAGTAGCCTTGATTTACGGACAAAGTGGGACTCAGCATGCATCAAGTCCGAACAACGACAAATGAGCATGTCATATACCACCTGCGTGTTTGCTCACGTTTAAATAACGTCCTTTTCCTACAACTTTCAATGCAAAATAATACTCCACTTAAATTGGTGTACTCCGGAGTCTTATTGATGGATAATGTCCTCATTAGTTTCGCATGCAATCTTGCAAATAATTCCTGTCTGAGACGCGGAAATTAACATTTTAGATGGTTTAAAGTTGCGAAAATTCCCAGTAAGCAACTCATAAGGGCATTTGGCTAGCATTCGCGTGCTTTCCATATATTCGCATCGGCACACTGTATATGGGAACGACGTACGAATTAAAACGTGTATGCGATAAGAGGAATCCATTACGGTCCGTCTTTTCACACAAGCGGGATGTGTGAATAAGGGGGGGGGGTGTAGTCGTGTCTTAAGGGTAGGGGGAACGGAATCGCGGAGACATGCATACAGTTAATCGAGCCTTGCCTACGGTAGACGTGGAGCGTGCAAGAGGTTCTTCGGCGTGCACAGGACCAGCCTCTGTGGCCTGATGGCAGTCGCTTCTGCGTTTGTTAGTGCGCGCTGATCAATTGCCTAGGCTATTTACCTGGATCCTTATAAATCACAAGCAGGCTTCGTTGGCGTCCACATGGTGCCCAGAATCAACAATGTGTGCGAGGATGGAGCTGTGTATGCTCTTAACTTCACCTTTCCACATCCATACCGGCGGGTATTATCGTATTCTTGTGCATGGACGCCGACCGTACGACCAATACAGCCTATTCCACAGAATGTGTTTATGACCGACGGCTTGCACTTTTTATGGTAATCTGGATTACTTAATGAAAAGAAATAACTCTAATGGCTGACTGCTTGCGTATTGTGCACCATTCTGCAACAATTGAAGACAAACCCAACATAAACCAAAACATTCAGAAAAGACCTTTTCCTAAACCTTCACTGCAATTTAAAAATAATGATTTTTGTTCTGCTGGTACGTCTGGTCAATGGTTTGGCCATCAGTAACTGTGTCATCGCGACACAAACAAAGAACAAATGCACCGTCCAATATACATACTGCATACTTTGTTTTGTCCTGAAGTTGGGCGACTGCGTCAAAAAGAATACAAGAATCCTCTAGCGCTGAAATTTGAAATGAAGAATGAGCTGCATTCAATTGTTTGCTGTTTGGCTAAAACATGTCCTTATTTTACCCTACCATAAGGGGAAACTGGAAGATGTCCAGCAAAAGGAATCAGCTGGCCATATTCTAAGCAAGTCGGCAATACACGAAGTTGAAGAGAGGCATCATCAGTAAATGAAATCCCGATGAGTTTAGATGAAATTAAACGATAGTGGGGACATTCTGTTGAACAGGAGTTTATTGAAACAAAACGACACATTAAAATTGAAGTTCAAGATTTCTAAATTTATTCACTTTGATGATGCCCTCAAAATGTAACACGTCTCACTGACACGAAAGTCTGACGCGTGGTGCTGCGGAGTGATTCAAATCTTTGTGCAGGAGGTTTAACATTAATCTGACTTGTCGCTTGCAATGATTTGAAGGCTGACGAGGGAGGGTTCGTTACTCAAATACTTTGACATCGTACTGATTACCTAGGTGCGGGATTGTCATTTGAATATGGCCCACCCTACTGACAAATTGTCCTCAGGTAGTTTGAGGGCTGAAACTACACTACAGCGGTGCGATCAGTTGCAAGGCAGGGTTGACTATAGTGTTGCAAACGTGTTTGTACCAAGGCGAATTGCATCTGGATAGCATCTTTTATTTATCAGTACTAATAATGAGACATCCACACAACTCCAGGAGTGTATGTTACAATATTTTTTTCAAATCGCATTAGGGGCTGCTTTACGCCAGTGAGACGTGAAAACGCTACACAACTGAAAGCTCTTGCTTCTGGCAACTATAATAATATCATTTCTCTCAACGACAACAAGACATACCATGGGTAGTACAAACATATGTATTCTCTCGTTCAGATATATCTTAATCTTTGTACCACCCAACCGTGGAGATTATTGGAAAATCTGGTTTGTAGAATGACGTCTGTGTGAATGACTCCTGGTTCGTTCCGATACCAACAATGTCGACCCGTAAGACGTAAATGTCATGAAATTCTACTGTAAGTCAAGTGTTCTTGAATTGAGGAGAAGTGCGCTGAGTCGTCGACCTCACTCTCCCTTCCCACTCCCACGCCTCAGCAACTGTCCGAGCCGGTCAGTAGACTGGAGTGGGGAATGGGCGCGGTGGCTGACATGGTCGCCTGACCATGCCTGCGCGCGCCACAGCACGACCTGGCCCCCCATACACACACACACACACCAGGATTTCACACAACGGGGGTAGAACGGCGTGTCTCCCACTTGCGTGAGAGGGCCGTGGAAGGTGATGCTTCAGCCCATCCCCAGCCCACCAGTCCGCCACTACACACAACACACACAACGTGACGAACTGCGTGAACCGAGAGCGGCCTCAATCAGCAACCTTCCTATCCACGACACTTGACGTGTCGGGATAGTCTCGGACTCAAGTCACTCGTGCAGCCGAAGCCGCATGGGGACCGAGTCAAGATGCCCACTTCCCACTTGCGTGGGAGGCGGCAGTTGAGTGCATGAGGTGTGTGAGTGTTGATGTCCGGTGGGGTGATGGTGTTAGGAGGTAGGGAGTGAGGAATGTGTGGTGTGACCGGCGGTTGTCTACCGCAGGACGTCGTGGATGCGCATGTGGCCGAATAAACTCATGCGATGCGTGAAGGTGCAAGGGCAGTGTGGGCAGTGGAAGCGAGAGCGGTGGGTGTAGGTCGGTGCTCCAGGCACTGGTTCGCCAGTCTCTGTGCGATGGATTCGTAAGTGACCGACCAGGCCGATGCGTGAGGTGAAGGTGCGTGGACAATGTGGGCATGAGAGGTTGGCGGTGTCGGTGTCAGCTGTAGAGGAAGCAGTGATGTTGGTGGTGGTGTTGGTCGACGCGTGTGACGGTGGAGCGAGGATGGGTCTGGGCGTGGTGGATGTGTTGGATGTCGTGGCTGTATCGGAATTGTGGTCAATTCCGCTCTCGTGGATGCGCATGTGGCCGAATAGACCCATGCGATGCCTGAAGGTGCGAGGGCAGTGTGGGCAGTGGAGGCGAGTGCGGTGGGTGTAGGTCGGTGCTCCAGGCACTGGTTTGCCAGTCTCTGTGCGATGGATTCGCAAGTGACCGACCAGGCCGATGCGTGAAGTGAAGGTGCGATCGCAGTGAGGGCAGATGTAGTCCTGGCCCTCACGTCTGATGATGGAGGTTGAAGGGCTTGTGCCGGTTATTGTGTCAGGTTCGGCAGTGGTGAAGTCGTGGGCGACAGACGCTGAAGCGGCCGTCGTTGTGGCAGTGAAGGAGGAAGAGGAGGAGAAAGGGG